CCCCCCCCCCCCCCCCGCTCTTCAAGGTCTGGCGCACAGACTTTCTGTATCCCTCTCCCCGTATCTGCTTCTCTCATGCTGCGGTGCAATGAACTCGAGGTCGAAATCGCCATCCGTTATTGTTGTGTTGTGTGGCCCACTCCTGTGGACAGAGGGCCCGCCAGCTCGAAATAGCGCAACAGCCTTCTCAGCAACAGATACGCCACGGTCCAGCTTGAAGATCGAAAAACTCATGACTGTATCGCGGCTGCGAACAGATGATGCGATTTTCTGCTTTATAGAAATCAATTTTCCTATCTGCTCTGCCACTTTGGTGGTCTTTGTTGTCTGCTCGATTTCACATTGCAGAACCATCTCTGCAAAAGCCAGTTGCTACAGGGTCACGCCAAGGTTTACGCCGTCCCTCCTCATCTGGAAAACCTTGGTGAGTGTCATCTTGAAGGCTGGGCGCCCAAAGGATCATTGCCGCTCCGTCTCCACATTTTGTTCTCCTTCATCTCTACTCGCATCTTGTTGCGAGTAGGGAGCTGGTGATCTGTTTGCTGCGATCGTACAAGCGGGATCCCTTTTTTTAAGCCCAGCACCAATGTTTCAGTTGCCATGTTATCTCTCCACGCACGGTTGTCATCATTCTGTTGCACTCCCCTATGACTGTTGAATCGCGCACTCTGCTACGTGTGATCGCAGTCCTTCCTCACCATTCTCGCCTATCAGTTTGGCCGTTGTTTGCAACGCCTAAAAAAATTTATCCTCTGTTGGGTACAAAGTTGCGTTCTTTGCTGTTGAGAACGCAAAGGCTTTTGTGACCGCCCGGAACAGTCTGTCCTTCATTTTCTTCGATAATACGCCGCTTTCTTGATTGCCTTGTTGCTGTCCTCCCCTGCTCGCGCACACTTTTCTTTGCGAGTTCGTGCCATCTTCTGGAAGACACACATTACAACGCACAAAATAATATTAAGAACTCCACATTTCGCACCCATTTTCGCGCCTGCCAAATTCGACAGACCGTTTCAACTGTAAGTTCATCACAGCGACATCCTCGCAATAAGAAAATGACATCACTTAGCGCCGTCACCGCGTAATCATTGTGCAAGAGGAGCAACTTCAGCATATTTTGTTTACCTTTTTTACTGCGTTGTCGTGCCTCACTAGTTGTCTGTCAATGGAGGGCGCGTCGACTGCTCCTCCCTCGCCGACACTTTCGGCTTCCCTCGTACGTCGCGTTCTTCCCGGAGATGGGGAACTCCCTCTTCCGTCCGTACTTCTGTCGTTTTCGCCTGCCCCGTTACCGCCCTCGTCCTGCGCTGTGTCGTCGCTGCTCCTGCCGTCCTCGTCATCAGCGTCGTGAGTGTCGCGAGAATGTCCTTCGAAAGTTTGACTGTCACCTCCCTTGTCACTTGTTGCCTCGTTCTCCTCCCCGTCAGACTTTTCTGATATGGACTGGTCGTGTTCCTCTTCTGCTTCCTCTCGGGCCGCGCTGTGTACATCGTCCGAGGCTCTCAGATCGATCATCTCCACCATTCTGTCATTTTTGTACGTGATTCTCTTCTTTGTCCTGTGGTGCACCTTTGACATTCTATCTTCCCACTACCTCTTCTCGGGGGCCTTGGGTGGACGGTTCTCGATGCCGCTGGCACGGTTCCGTGGGGCAGGAGTCGCAGGGGGTGACTCATTGCGTTCTTTCAGCTTTGAAATCCCCCTCTGACTTGGCTCGAGAGAAACTTTTGATCCGTTTCTACGGCTGCTGGTCCGCTCCGTTTTTACATTCTAGGATCTGCTTCTGCGATGCTCCCTCCTTTCTTTTTTCTTATCAGCCTTACATTTCTTCCTCCCCTTGTCCTTATTTCCCACACCCTTCAAAGACCTGCACAAATCCTCGTATTTTGGCTTTGGAGCCATGACCCTTTTTTCCCCACATACATCAAAGTGGAATACGAACAACAACTACGTCAGCAATGTCGTGCGTCGATCCATACACCCCTGAAGTGTAATGGCCGCATTGAGAGAGAGAGAGAGAGAGAGAGAGAGAGAGAGAGAGAGAGAGAGAGAGAGA